GTTGCTGCCAAATCTCTGTAACCCAATTGAGTCTTCTTATCATAAGGTACAACTATACCAGCTTTATGAAAAGTTCGTGCTACAACCCGTTTCTCTCTCGCTCGCATATCTGCGGTATTTTTGTCCAAAGTTATATTGTGCTGTTTGGCAAAATTCTTCAGTTGCGAATGCAAACGTATTATGCTGGTTTTCTCGAAAGGATTGACCGTTTTCACTTTGTTTTGCAAATAAGCACTATAATTTAAATATATATAAATAAGAGAATAAAGTGAAAAAAGATCATAGAAAAGCTTATATAAATATAGATCTATATATATTAAATCTCTTAAATTCTCGTATTTACTTACTCGACAGCACCAAATATATTTTCTGCAACGGGTTCAAATATGCCATTCACATTTGCTCGATTCTTTGCTATAAATACTGGTTTTTCTACTGCATCATCTCGCCAGTAACCAAAATGTAATCCTTCTTTATCATCACATTTCACAATAGTCTGTGGATATAATTCTTGTATTGTATAAATCATTGTATTGTATACATCTTTAGTGTCATAATCATGAATAGTGTCATTTGACATTGTATTCATAAAATATTAATTTGTCTTATATACCTGAAATTCTGGAGGATCGTAATAATATCTCCAATGTATCAAATATTTTTCCTTATCGTTTTCACTAGAAGAAATTTTTATTTTACCATCCAAAATATCATATGGACCCACAAGTTTCAAGCGAACGTATTTACAAGCTGAAAGAGGATTATCTTTTGATATGCTTTTACAAAATTCATAAAATTGAAAAAAATCTTTCGGCATCTCAACCAGAAATAGATCCATAATAATTCTTTTGACATCCATCTCAGATATTGATGTATTCTCAGTTGCATTATTTTCAGTTGAATTAACTGGATTATGTCCATTCAATGATACTTTCTTATCTGATGTTTCCGTTTTCTCTTTAAACGTTTCATTGTTATCTATAATGACATCATTTTTTTTTGGATTTGAGAAAAAACTATGTAAATTTCTTTCAGAAGCCTCGAGTGTCTTCTGCAATTTTCTTTGAGGACTTTGTGTTTGCACTTTTTTATCATCTCTAATAGGATGTTTTCTCTTTTCTCCAGTAATTATCTTCTCAGTTTTCTCCTAAGAAATCAGAAGGATAAATAAGAATTGTTTAGAGCGATTAAATTAATTGATGATTAATTCAACTAGCAGAATTGCTTAAAGCAAAATTTTAAACAATAATTCATTGTCCTTAATTATTCTTCCATATCTTAAACAATAAAAATTAATAATGTTATTCCGATTAACAAAATATGTAAAACATTTATTTACCATAAGTTAATCATCGAGCAAGTTAATTGAATGATAATATTAATAATTGTTGAATTGTAATATTAATTAACGTTAGCGTATCAATTGCAAATTTGCCATATTTGTCGTGAGCTGAAGATTATACGTTACCTTTTCTCCTTTTGGCGGGTGTTTGTACTTGCTGTGATGTTGCGGATTTTTTTGATAGCACTTAGTACCATACTTGCAAGGAATTCGCGAATCGTCTTTATACGCCTGAAATTCACTGTCCTTGACGTTGTTAGATGACATTATAGAAAATATTTTTAATATATTACACTGTTCTTCGTTATTATCGACAAATATGACTTTTATATGCGTCACATACGACCTAACATATGTGACACGGTTATACCGTTGAGGTTATCTGTCTTTAAATTTAAATATCTGTTCTTTGACACGTTACTTATGTACTTTCTACACTTATTGTGTTGCATATGCGAAAAATATGTCTGACAAATACCCTTTTTTTCTAGTTGCGCTTCAATAAAAATAAACAAATTAGATCTTTTAACTGCAATTTTCATTTTTTTTTGCTACACTTAAATTTTGCGTTCTTCAAAACTTGAACGTTCCACTCGTTGCAAAATTGTTTTACTAAACACACATTTTTTACATTTCTTTCATCTGTTTTTACAATGTAGATTGATTTTAATATCGGTTCAATTTATTTATCTTTTTTTTAGTTTTAAATATTATAAAAAGATCAAGTCAAATCGAGATTAATCTATATTAGAAGAAACGAATAGACATAAATATATTTATATTCATTTTACTAAGTGCATGGAACGCAGATACTTATATAACCATGATTGATCTTTATTATCTAGTAACATTCTTTAACAAATTGTATAATATTTTATACGTACAATTACGTATAATGTAAATATAATATGGATATAAAGTAATATAATATGGACATAAAGAATTAATATATTATATATTGATAATAATTGAAATGTAATAAAAGTTTAAGACTTCTAGTTATGTTCGTCTAATTAGGATATATTCTCTTTCCTTTCATTTCATAATAATTTGGCAGTACCCCTGAATCACCCGTTTACTTTCCTTCTTTTTTCAAATGCAAAATCCTCTCTATCCTCTTTCCACACAAAACTCAAATTCTCTTAATAAAATACGCCACAATGGAATAACTTGTCTCGACGAACATCACAGAAGTTACTTTTTCGTATTATACGGTAGGTATCGGCCTTATTATCGTTTTTCTTAACGGAATGTTTACGCCACCGCTCGTGCTTCGGGTAAGAAACTCTCCCAGTACTTAATGAGTTGATTCTGATGTTGTAGCATTGATTCTAGGTATTCAATTAATTGTTTCTTGAAATCTTGCACTCTGACTAATTCAAAGCGTTCGACTTCCTCCTTTATCATCTTTGAAATATTGTCAAATTCTTCCTGACCTCTGTCTACTTTCGCTTCCCATTCTATGACCTCAGTAGCTGCTTGACTCGTCCTGTCTGTTCGGCTTGATTGTTCGAGTCGTGCTTTTTGCTCGCGTTTCTTGTTCAACATCAACTGAGCGTGTTGCCAATTTTGAAAGACTTTCACTCTCTCATGAAAAACATCCTGCAAAACAATGCCACATGTGAAAACAAAACATCAAACAAGAATATAAATGCGATTGTAAATTAGAAATACCAACTTTGATTGCGCCAATAAGCGCGACATAATCCCTCAACATTTCTCCAAATTGATAGAGATCACTGTTGCTTTGCGTCTTCCTAATCACTTCAACTTTCTCCAGAGTTTCAGCTAATTGTGCCAAAGCTCTGCCAAGAGATGCTCCAGGTTCGCCATGGCCAAGAACAGCAATTGATTTCGCTGTAGCACCAGTGCAGTTCGCTAATTCCCTTCTTTGATTCGTTAAGGAATCGACCGCGGAATGTAAAGCGCGTAGCTGAATATCAAGAGAATCTATCTGCGACGTTTTTTCTTCGAACCACTGCAAAAATTACAAATTTTTATTCATCTCATTTCTTTTTCAATAATGAATAATTATACATACACTTAGCAATTGGTATACATTGTTTTTAAATATATCAATAAAATATTGTAATAAATATATTTTTGTGATATATTATGTGATAATGTTAAGTCTATTGACAGCAATGTGGATTAAATTAAAAATACGTGATATATAATGTACAAGACGATACGTCAATTTCAAGTAAACGTACCTTACCCTCTTCCTATTGCAAGCAACAAAAATATTGTTTCACGATATTTCATAGGAAATACATGCAAGAAGAAATATAGGATTACATTGAAGAAATCTCACCATATCGCTCTCGTCCATTTTATACGTTATCTTATTAACCGTTTCCCCAACTTTGTTGAAAAGCCGCATTACTCCTTTACCACTCAGTGCAGATGTATTGGTAGCTTTAGGCAATTCTACATCTAAAAAAAGAGAATCACTGATGTTTAATCAAAAGAACTTAATTTGTTAAAAAATTTCATGTGATTTATTATTTGTGAGTATCACTTACCAGCTTCTAAAAATTCTCTGAAATCAGGATCAATACTCAGAACTGGATGTGCAGCCGTTCTATTCAAATATCTCTCGAGAGCTGCTCTACGTCGTTCAAGAAATTCTGTGGAGCTCGAATTTTGCTCTTGATTTTTGTCCCCTGACATCTTTATTTTCGTCGTTCCTGTTGCGATATCATTTATATTTTTTAATGACTTTTTTATAACCGCGAATAAACTTAAGAAAAATTAATTTTATATTCCTACCAATTACACTTTTCTCTGGAGCTGGTGGAATTATCCTGCCATTCCTAAGATATTTCTCTGTCAATTTATCATGAAGACCTAAGAAATCACTGAAACGCCGAATCACGCTAAAGTTCCTTTTCTTAAAAATAAGCATATTTGTTCTCGTTTCAACTTTATATGCGACATAGGCACCCATTCCTTCACCAATCTTTTGAGGCGAAGTGACAGTAATCTTTAAGAAAACTTCAGATGTGTCTGCTGGAACCTACATAAATAGCACAGTGTTAAAGTTACATTTATATATATTAATGCATTATAATATATACCTCCTCCAAAGATCGAGAATGAATAATATTTGCAGACAAAGTATCTGCATTATCATTGATAGGAACATCATGAAGGTCTCCGATGTCTGTATTCATTAGTCCTAGTGGAGGACTCAAAGGACCTGGAGCTGGGCTGGACATCGAGGAAAACGAATTCTCTTCTGGCATGTCTCGCAAAGACAGCTTTGGCAATTCTGCTTGCACCTTGGAGACTCCATTATAAGGCGAAGTATCTTCCAATTGGTTCTGTTCCTATGAACATAATAAATATTTCCAATTTACGCCTACAAATCTGTTGTTTATATTATGTTCTTGGCATGTTAATCAATGTATCAAATCAAAATACAAGTTGTTTTCTATTTACACCAAAATTTAAATAATTTCAATTTGTGACATCGTAACTCAGTTGAATGCCTATTTCTTTTCATTCTAACAAGTGAAATTTAACTGAGTTTTCATCTATAATCTGGATACAAACTCCAGACAATGCACTGAGTCTTATTAATTCACGTTTAAAGTAGAATTATAAACTTGTGTTATTATGGAATGACTTCGTTACCAAAATAAGCAAGTCATAATCTGAGTATAAAATACATAACTTTAGACTCAGTATCACTGTGAAAATGGAAAGGCAATTTAACTGCGGAGTTCACAGATTGTTTATATCAAATCAATTAAGATAAAGAGATCAAAGTACTAGTTTTTTGCAGCAGAAAATGTTTTCAGACAGAACGAAATGAGCATAATTTCAACGAGTTCAACTTCCGATAACGTAAGGGCGTTAAAGATACACGTCTCACGACAATTATCATGCAACTATGAACGCAGATCAGTCTCGCAGCATCGCGGTATGCGAGCTCGTTGGGATTATCAATCTTTTTCTTTCTTTTCTTCTCTTGCGAAGTTTCGACTCCCGACGTAATGGATTGTTAGCTACGTTGATACCTGTACCGCGGACGCAAAGATATCCTCGTCGTCATCCTCCAGATCGTCCAATTTTGTCTCGTTGTCAAACAGCGGCGGCGATTCCGTCATATCGGCCATCTTCCTTGGTTCTGTTGAGTTCTGTCAAGCAACGGCGACGGTTACGCTTCTCGATCCACAGGGATCGGCCCCCCTGACGACGATTACGCCGACGACGTCAATTATCGCTGTCGGTATCGACGGCAGTATCGGCTCGAAAACATGCAAGTTCACTTCCGTACGTATAAAAACGAGACCGAACTGAACTGGACTGTTCACGACTCCATGATTCGTTTAAAATTCCATTGTCATTGTCATCTCACTTGCCGCGTGTCAACGCAGCAGGTCCGTTCATTTTAAAGGCGTTTTCTGTACTCCAGAAATCTATTCAGAATTTATTTCATAGTATATTTTCTATTATACTTTTGTTTATCTCTGCGTTTTTTAATCTCTGCGCTTTCACGACTCCTTTTGCCTCTACAATGTTCTAATATGTATTTATTTTGTTCTATTTCATTTAATTAATTTTTCTTAATATTACTTATTTTATTTTGTTCTAATTTTGTTGTTCAAATACGAAAAATAAACGCGAAAAATAGGAAAAGTAATATTAATTCCTTTTAGCTTTTTAAACATATATTATGTAAAAAAAAATAGAAAAACTATTATAAATTAAAATAATTACAAATAAAATTATTTAAAAGAAAGGCCAAAAAATAATAAATGATACTGTATTTTAATAAAGAAAAATATGTATAAGAAAAGACGAAAAAGAAAAATTCACATTTCTTTGTAAAATAATTATAATTCACGAAAACAACAATTAATTAATATTTCATATAAAAAAGAAGAAAGAAAAATTATACAAAGAAGACAATATCTCTACATAAAAAAGAAATACAAAAATTAAAGAAATACAAAAAAGAAATACAAAAAGAAGTACAAAAAAGAAATACAAAAATAAATTAAAAAATTAGAAATCGAGATAAAAAATAAGTAGAAAAGATAAACATCCAGCAAACGAGAATGGATTGAAATGAATTGGAATGGGATTCAGATTTTCAGAAATATTGATTCACGAATGTTAAAATGAATACTTTTCAATCCTGAATGCATTTTTATTCATTTATAGGAATTGCATGGAACATATCTCTATGCCTTTCAATCTAAAAATAATATTAACTTTTTCTATGCATTGTGAATACTGTTCAATTCAAAATTTTGAATAGGAAATGCAGTTTTTCAATCCAATTGCATCCAATTGAATCTAATTGAATCCAATTGAATTCAATTAAATCCAAAAAAAGTATTCGCTATTTAAAATACGCATTCAGATAGAAAAAAATTTCAATCCATTTAAATCTATTCTTGTTTGCTGGCATCACGTCTCAAGAAAATGTGCAATATAATTTATGTTAAACTTTCTTTCAACTTTTCTTTTTTCCCTCTCCAATTTTCTAATTATATATATTCATCGATTTTATTTTAAATGCAGAATGTGCAACATGATGCAACGATGCAGACCTGACCTTCATGATACGAGAGGGTAGAAATCTTCTCTATCGACCACATTGCGGAATGCCGAAAGAAAAGTATAAGTACGACTAATGAAGGAGAGGGGAGCAGACCCTCCCGCAAATCCCGCTTTCACCCACACCTCGCGATGACGATAGTTTGCGATAGTTGAATCACGACGACGGTGAGTACAGTGACGCGTTGCTCTGAGTGCGTCAGTGTATAGTCGGTATATATCAGTGTGTATCAGCGTGCTGTCACATATGACAGGTTGATGTCGCGTGACTTCACATCCGCGCAATATATATTCCGTGAAAACTCCGCGAAAAACAATTGATCGTGATTAAGTATCCGTGGAGCGGATATTGTGAATGAATTAATCGCCGATCGCATTGTACGGAACACCAGAAGGTCGCTATATAGGAACAAAGATGCAGGTGAGAAATTTTCATTTTTTTTATTCCTCGCGTACTTTTTGCGCACGTTTAAGGAGCGAAAAAGAGAGAGAAAGGGGAGGGGGGAGTGAGAAAGAGAAAGAGAGAGATCGTGTGAAAAAAAACAATGAAAACTCTCTCTTGCCGAGAAACTTCTCTTTCTTTTCTCTTTTCTTGAACATGTACGATTGAAAATTCCCGTTTAGCTATGTCTCATGAATATAAAACAACCGCTGCGTCGCAGACGCGAGATGGTTTGGAATTTCCCGCAATTCCTATTCGCGTCCCGCTTCGCGCGGTTACAATTACGCGAAGAATTTCCGACTGAAAACGCACAGATTTAAATGCGCCGAAAACAGAGATTTATAAAGCTATAATTTTTTAATGACGATTTTACTAGGAATGTCGTTACGCAGATATTTTACAGAGTGAAAAAGCTGCGCAACGACAATATAAAGGTACATTGCTAACGCTGGACATTCATTTTTAACGTCAAAACCGATTAAAATTGATGATAAAAATTGAATATCAAGCATCAATTTGATCACGTGACCTGTTTTGACTTTACGATTCCGAACTGTTGTTAAAAGTTATAAAATAAGTTTACTGAGGCGGTTCTGATTCCCACCTAAATGCTCCTCAGATGTCATGTCATCTTACCTTATTTAACGTTCAATAAATAACAAAGATGACATGACATCTGGAGTAAAGCTCTGTATAAAAGTAGCGCATTTCTTTGATTTACGTCGAGATGCCGACAACTTTCCTATTGGCTATTTCGATCGCCATTTTCGATCGAGTTGTCTGTTAGTCCAATAAACGCTTAATATTATTGATACATAATATGATTAGTTATAATACCAATATGGCGGACTTTTGCGCTGCTTTTATTAATATAGAGCTTTACATCTGAGGAGCATTCAGGTAGGAATCCGAATATCCCTTGGATATTAATCATACAACTTTTTCTAGAGTAAAAATGTGAAAAGTAAAAATTTTTTATTTGTATGTGTATATATATTATATTGCATTTATATGTTGAGTGTAAAATTATAATGATGTTATGATGTTGTTAATTAGTATTCAATGTTTTTTTTTGTAAGAAATCTTTTAATCTTCCATAGAGGAAATAAAAAGAAATGCGATACTTTCAACAAGCTTGAATTTAAGACTCAAATTATCATCGCTTTTGTGACAAGTTCTATCGATTTACTTTAACCTTTTTATGGAAAAAGTTAATTTTATTTATTATGTGAATTTTTTATTCTTTTTTCGTCTTTCGATTTTTACACTGACTAAATCGGTATCTCGAAAATATTTAGATGGTTTTTTAGTTGATTCACTAACTACTGAATAGTTAATTAAAAAAACATTGCAAAATAAATAGTTAGTTACTAATGATTAGAAGACTAATAATTACCAGAATAATCATACGTATTATCCCTCAAACTAATAATCAATCAGAAAATGATGGTTGATAATCTAATCTGTAATTAAAAACGAATGTTATCTATAAACGTATAAATATATACGTTTCTTTTGTCTCGATATAATTTTTATAAGTTACATACAAGTCATTACAAAAACTTTTTGCGATAATTTACGTATTTGTTCTTATTTCAAAATTAAAAGATGTTAATATCACTCTTATGATTAGTTATGCTCTTATGATTACACTGACAGAAATGTTTTGATATATATTTTGTTGCTATGTAATTCTAACAAAAACTTTCTTATTTTTTCATTTAGAGATCGTGTTATTCTAATCAAAATTTGATTATTCTAATCAAATTTTTATTATAACAACAAATTTGCTGAGATCAACACAAATAATTCAAAAAACATTTTAAAGTTTGAAGTCTCTACTTTTTCAGATAGATAGTTTAAATAATAATTAATTCGACTGATTTTTTACGGAGTTGCAAAGATATAAATGGATATTCTTTAAATCTAAAAATTTTTATTAAAACTCTACAAAGTTCCAAAGCATGAATTAAAAATTACATACAAAAGCAATTAATAGATTTTAAAAGACTGAATCTTTATCTTTAATTTACTTGTTGTTAGCATTTATCTTTAATTTACTTGTTGTTACGTTTTTTTTATTAAAACTCTACAAAGTTCCAAAGCATGAATTAAAAATTACATACAAAAGCAATTAATAGATTTTAAAAGACTGAATCTTTATCTTTAATTTACTTGTGAGCATTGTACGTTTTTTTTTCATTGACTTATCCAACAGTGAAGCAAAAGAGTCTTTTTACTTTAACTGTTCATAAAAAATAAACAAACAGCGCTTAATATTCTTTAAAAAAAAAAAACGAATATGAAGATTTAAATTTTCTCTTTAAAATACGCCTACCATTTTTTTATATAAAGAAAATTTCATTTGTAAACTTCACTTAAATGAGGCGCTAGAAATTTAAACATTGACATGTTTTCGTTTATGATAATATCTCAGCGAGAAATATTAAGAATGTTATGATTTTAACGTAATTTATGTCCTCCGTGTTCAAAGCAATGATTTTGAGCAAAACAATGTTCGCTTTATGCTATCGCAATATACCCGTCGTATTTTGTGTGAAGGTTACACGTTCAAATTTATGTTTTTAAATGCGTTTTTATGTTGTATTATGTATATGACGGATATACACGATAGAGATAAGTGCGACCAAATGAAATCTTCCTAATTGTTTTAAAATATATCATTACTCTTTTGTTCAAGCAATCAAAGTAAAAAAAATCACTTTTTTCAATATTGAATAATTCGATAAAAAAAAATTATACAATACTCAACAAATACGCAAATTAAAAATGAAGATTCACTTCATTGAAAAATGTAAATTGCTTTTATGTGCGATTTTTAGTTCACATCATGAAACTTCGCAAAATTTTGAGATTTGACAAATTTCTATTTGTTCGTCAATTTATTCGCGTATTCTGTAAAAAGTCAGTTAGATTGTTATATAAACTATCTATTTGAATTAAAAATAGAGATTTCACGTTTTAACATGCTTTTTGAATTATTTCATTGTAATCATTTTTATGAAGTTATATTCTCTTGAAAATTACTTATTTTTTGAGAGAATACACGATTCCTTAGTTTCTTGAGTGTATAAAACAATTATATATTCCGACAATCTTCATAAAATTAAATTTCTTAAAATTCTTTAATTTTATTCTTTATTTTCGGATTTTAACAAATGCGTTAATTTATGGATTTTTTATAAAAATATACATAAAAGCATTCACAAATGTACATATTCATAGTTTGAAAGAATAATGGAAGAATTGTGTATTATAGTAAATATTAAAATCATTCTTTGCGTGCAGAGTATATTCAATTAAATATGTAAATTTGTCAAAATTATACAGCTTTATGTATGAATTGCAAATCTTTTATTAAATTAGATTTATCAAATATCAAATTAATTTGAAATTAATTTGTCTTATGATATACAAAATTAGATATACAAAATTATTTTTCAAATACATGAATTTTAAAACTATTATTTTTTAACTCTTTTATTTCCTGTGAGTTAACTGTCAAATAGCTGTATTTAAAATCATAAAATATTATTACATTTATATCTAAATTGCCGATCTGAATATACATAGTTTTTTTATATGGCTATATCAGGACTTTACGTTTATACAACATAATATTTTGATTTTTTAAAACTTTTCGATAAAATAAAATATCATGTTAACTTTACAGATAATGAAAATAAAAGTTCCGTAATTTTTACATTAAAAAAAAAACAAAATAAAAATATGGCGGACTAATTTTGGTCTTTTTGTATAAAAGATCAAATTTTTGTATAAAAATTGCGGTATTATTTTTTATTTTTATAAAAAGTGGAAAAGAATTATAAAAAGTGCTAAAAATTAGAATTATGATCATATTAGATTTGATTTATGTTTTATTTAATTAAGATACTCATTATTATTAAATATTAAATCTGAAATATAAATATTGTACTGACACACTTATTAAAATTATCATGATATCGCGCGATCTTGATAGACCTATCTTTTATCAAATAAGCAAAAATTAATTCTTTCTTTCATCCAATCAATATAAAGACCTGAAAACGTCGAATGAGGGCAGAGAGCGCATCTGCACGATGCGACGCGGCGCATTTTCGGAGCTGACCGAATCGACCTCGTTCACCCCAAGGTCTGATGATCTAAGAATGGGTCGGAGGATGCGAAGGGTCCCTGATAGAGAGAGGGTCTCGCACAATGCACGACGCAACTGTAAACCGTGAACAGCGGGAACACGCGGTGTCTGTTCGACGGTAACAACAACCACGACAACGACGATGTTGGTAGTGATGGCAATGGTGGTGGTTGCTGATGGTAGTGGGGAAGCAGGGTAGAGAGAACATTTAATTTGAGCTTGCGAGGAAGTAGTTGATTGGAGATGCGAGGTACGGGCTCGTTGGCGGGAGAGCAGTTTCAGTTCGACCGTTGATCTTGTTAGACCTTTCGGGAGATCCTTTTGCTAAGATCGCGATTGCCGATCCCAATTGATTTCGAACGAACGATTGTGCGACGTGTGCACGCTTTCTTTGGTGCGAGACGCGCCGTTCTTTTTTTTTTGCGAGATTATGATTTCGGGCAATGACCCAAAATTCGATCTTGCTATCAAATTCGCAATTTCCACATTTATGGAACAGCCACGTGAGAAGCGACAATCAAGTTCTCTGACGAACGAGTTCGTAGATTGAATCAACAATGCATCACGTTGCATAAATTTTAAATCTCGAGATTGAGCGCAGCTTTTGCAGGTACTTTTTGCGTTGAAGATTGTCGATGATAGTTTTCATGTACTTTTGTTAGTGTGCGTTTTGCGACTGTAACATTTCACTCTGAACTTGGCTCTGTTTGAATTCTACTTACGACATCTCTCTCTCTCTCTCTCTCTCTCTCTCTCTCTCTCTCTCTTTCTCTTGTATAATCTATCTGCTTCAATGTTTCAAAAGGATTTTGAACTTAAT